CCGTCTGCTGCTTCGGCTGCGCCATCTGGTAATAAAACTGAGGAAGGGGCACCGACATCGCCCACGGAGAAACCTTCAGCTGGCGCATACAAACCACCCATGAATACGCCGTCTGCTGCTTCGGCTGCGCCATCTGGTAATAAAACTGAGGAAGGGGCACCGACGTCGCCCACGGAGAAACCTTCAGTTGGCGCATACAAGCCACCCACGGACAGGCCTTCAGCTGGCGCATATAAGCCCCCCACGGACAGGCCTTCGGCTGGCGCATATAAGCCTCCCACGGACAGGCCATCCGCTGGCGCATACAAACCACCCACGGACAGGCCTTCAGCCGGCGCATATAAGCCCCCCACGGACAGGCCATCAGGTAATGTATACAGGCCACCAAACAGAAGCAGTGCTCCTCCGCCAAGCTAAAATCGTTGGTATGTGGTCAGCGTTCAGGCTGTCTATCTTTTTTTCGTAGTTTTGATCCGAGGCTGCCTTGAACTCCGCTGTAAAAAAAACAATTTCTAGGGATGGGTTTGATAGAATGCTGAAGTTGTATATCTAATAGTATGAGTGTCGTGGGAGGGAAGAGAAGGAGACTCGTACAAAGCACAATCGTCTAACGTCCCGTATGAAAGAGGAAGCAAGTACCAAGTTCCTTTTAATTTTGGTGCGCTTTATTAATAATTAAGCTCTATGAAATGAGAATAGTCAGCTGGGGGAGGGAGGAAGACTCCATATATCGTCTTGTATTGTGGAGATTGGTGTTGCAGTGGTCACTATTCTTTTTATTCATCTCTCCGTGTGTTGTCTGCTCTTTCTACCTCCGCTCTATCTGTCATATTGACACGTGATAATAAGGCGAGCTCTTGAATAAACAGCGTACATAGTGTTCCGTGTTTTGTTTTGTTTTTGGCGTGCGTACGCACATAGACATATACTGCAGACAAATAAACATAGATCGCTTAACGACATTGAGGAGGAGGGAGGACGTGTGAACGTAATATAGCGACGGGGTAACGAGAAACAACAACAAGACAAAAAAAAAAGAAGGGAGGGGGGGGGGGCATCGATGACGAGCCCGTTCTCTATCTTCCAAAACGGTGATCTTTGCCTGGAAGCCTCGGTAGACGGCGCACACGGAGCACTGCCGTCGTTGATTTTTTTGGAATCTCTTCTTTCCTCCGTCGTGCGAGTAAGTTCTCGGGCGGGCGGCAGAGCAAGGACTAAGGAGCAAGCGTCGGTGCACTGTCTCTCTCCATGGAATGAAGAGGAAAAATTGCGCTCCCTAGCTGCTCTCCACCCATGGATAGAGGGGGTCTCGTCCTCCAATTTGGGTACCGCAACGACTTTGTATCCCCCTTCCGCCACTACGGTTGCCGGTGGTTGTGAGGATGCGTGCAGCTTCCCTGGTCGCTTGGGCAGGGAGGAGTCCTTCTCGCTGGATGATGCCGCTGTGGAGAGTGTGGTGCGTGGGTCTTTCTGGAGGGCGTGTAGCGGCAACGGAGGCCGGGACACCAATGAACTGGGTCGTGTAGCGGAGGAGAGCACGCTGGATACACGACGACTGCATAGCAGGGTGCATGGACTGTGTCGATTATTGCAGCAGCGCCGTGAGGAACGTGCATACACACCCAAAACGCCTGTCGCGAAGTCGACTGGATTGAGAGAGATTCAAAAGCGTAGAAACGCAAGCGAAGAGAGTGAGAGGTTGGATACGAGGCGTATGTTTGATGTCATGACGGGGTCGGCAGAGGGGCGTTCAGTCCAGGATTTTGGTCATGGCGGCACGGAGCCCTTTCTGGTGGGTCTTGTCTGCCGTGAACCGTCTGGCGGGTCAACGCGGCATGCTCTCTCCGTGCGCCCGTTTGTCACAACGGGTCTAACGGCTCTTTCCGGCGAAGTTGGCGATGGCTTAGTGAGGGGTGATTTGGGAACCGAGGAACACACGGAAGAACCGGGCGAAAGCTCGTTTAGCGTGATGTTAATAGAGGTGGAAATGGACAGGCTGGATTCGGAGGAGTTGCAGATATCTGCCGTGTGGCAAACGCTCTTGTCAGTCGTTGATTTTGTGTACGCTGCTGCATCCGCCTCCATCATTGCCCGTGTCGCGTCCTCAATGAATGGTGTGTACTGTGCGGCTGTTGCAGCCCCAGGCTTTAGGCACTTTGGTGTTGGATGTGGCGCTCGGCCAGTGATGCCTCCCTCCTTTTTTTATAGTCTTGTGGGAGGAGAGGCCCCAGCAATGAGTATGAACCTGTGCTCTGGAAAGGCGCATTGCGTTAGTGACATTCACGCTGTGTTGGCGCAGCTGATGCTGACGCAGGAGTTGCGGGCGGTAACGTGTTGTCGGGATCCGCTTCAGTGGTCCATGCTGTTAACGCACACATGGCTTCTCACTAAGGGGGCGCAGGGCGTGGCCGCAGTTTTTTCCTTGCAAAAAAGGATGGGCAATGCCATCACTGCGGCTGTGGATATGTTTGTGGCCACCGCAGAAGGTGTGCTACTGGCCATGTACGCCATGGAGCCACTTCCACCCTTGTCACTTCGCGGGGATGCCATCGGCACAGTGACCGTTTTTCCGCGAGACTTAGCTCTGGAAGACGTGCTGCACATGGCCCATCAAGTGGCGTTGTTGGCCTTTGATACGGATGTTGTGCCTTGCGTGTTTGATGGGCGGCTCACTCCACGACATGCCGCACTTCAGGACGCGTACTGCGGTTGCCGCTACCACATTGCCCGCGACGCGTTGAATCGGGCGTGTAAGTTGGCGTCAGAATCCCTAAAGGAACGCCTGTGTGCGTTCGCAGCCCATGCCGCCACGCAGGCGCTGCAGCAGTCGCCTGTGAGGATAGTCTCCATGCTGGGTTCAGCTTGTAGCGAGGATGGGTCAGGGGCTGTCTCCCTTGTTGATGTCATTACGGAAGCCACGCAGTGGATCCACCACTTTCTCACGGCACCGCTCATTTCCCACTATGGGGTGCAGGACGGCACCGACACAAACCATGCGGCTGTAGCGGCAGCAACAGGGGGTGGGTGCGGTCATCGACACAGTCTCCCGTGTCGCATGGTGGAGAGCCCCATTATTGCAGCCGCGGCGCCCAACGCAAAGGCTGTTGTGCTGTCGGAGTACTTGGAGCAGACATTGCTTCCTGCCCTATTGGGGGCTGCGCGAGAGCGTGAGTCTGTGGTTCATGCGCAGGAACGCCGTGCATCGGAGACGCGTGAAGCACTACTGGTTGCGGAAGATAACTACCTGCAGCTTCAGCAGCGATTGGAGCAGGCTAAGGCTCAACTGGAGCATCAACGTGGGGTGCTGCAGGAGGCAAAGCGGCACAGCAGTGTCCTCCGTACGCAACTCCACGCGTGCTGCATGTGTTTGCGGAAGTTGGTGCAAACATGCGTTGGGTACGAGGAGACGCACGGCCATTTCACACGTCAGACACGGTTCCAGCTAAAGCACGGGGTTGTCATGAGTGATGCCGCTCCTGTGTCTGATTTCCCACCAGAGGGTCCACGTCAACGCGAGGCAATGATGGATATGGATGCCCTCGTGACGACACCACCAAAGGATGCTGCCAGTGTAAATGCGGCCATAAAAAGCCGGGAACTGACGATGCCCTTGAGTGCTGAGGATGACAGAGTTAATAACGACGCTTCAGCAGCAGTAGCAGTGGCGGTACCCTTATCTACCTCCTCCTCGTCGTGCGAGCAAGTGGAACTCCTAAAAAGATTGCTTCGCGACGCACACCAGCAGCTGAGGGCTAGCCACAACGTGTTGCTCTATCTCTACGAAGAGGCCCACGAGACCCTTCATCAAATGAGCGCCGATGGTGGTGATGTCGGCCTTGACGATTCCCGTCAGTTCCTCCTCTCTGCCTCGCCGCGGACTGCGCGCAATACGACGCCTGTGCGACGCTTAGGCCGGTCTGTGAGTGACGTAGCGAGTGAAGCAGTCTCTGCGGAGATCTTCGAGCGTACGCCAAGGAGGTTTGCAGCCGGAATGCCTGAGACCTCGCACCAGGAGCTGTATCTGGGGGAAAGCAGCCAACTGGCGGTGGTGAACACCTCAGCAAAGTCATCACCGTCGCCTGGCCTCAGTGGAATTCACTATGCGCTGCCAAACACGGATGTTGGCCCTACGGATCAGATGCCTTTGCCTCAGAAGCCGCAGCGGGACGGTGGTGAGGAAAAAGCTTGGCATCATTACACGCCGGTTTCCGGATGGTCGACGGCAGTAGTATCCCTGCTCCCCACACCGGACCGCGGTGTGACCTCCGCCGTGGAGGCCATCGCCGACCTGCAGCGTCAGCGGCAGGAGGCCGCAGAAGCCCTCACTCGACTAGAGAAGCAGTATGAGGCGGTGAATAGGCAATTGGAGGAACGGGACGCCGCACTCATGGAGGCGCAGAGCAAACACAAGGCGGAGGAGGAGCGGTGGGGTGCCGAACGAGAGGCACTCCTGAGTCGACTCCGCGCAGCTGCGGGGGAGACGTATATGGCAGAGAAGGCGTGCAAGGCGCATCAGCAGGAAGTGCAGCATTGGGCACACTCATGGGCGGAAATGATGGACGTAGCTGAGGCTGAAGCGAACAATGCGCTCCTCGCGAACGCCGGTGTGCACACGCTCGCAGTGTTGGATGATGTCGATGTCGATGATAGTGACAAAACGGGGGAGGATGGAAAACATATTAGTGGGGAGCGTGACACGACGCCAATCCGCGTGACGACCCCAGAGGAGGCTCTCGCCTGTGGAAAACGGCGGCTCCGCGGTCTCATGGTACGGGTAGAATCCACTGCACGCGAGCGTGCTAGCAACGTGGCGGAGCGACACACCGCAGTCTTGCAGAGGGAACTTGAACGCGCGCGAGAGCAGGCTCGCAAGGAGGAGCTGCAAAAGCAGGCTGATACCACCGCCACGCTTCGTGCGGCTGAGGGATTGGCGCGCACGGCAGAGGAAGCGGCCCACCTGCGGGAAGCCCTTGCAGCTGCGACGGAACGAGAAGGCCTTCTACGGCTGGATCGAGATGAGCTTGCGGTGCAGAAAGAAGACGTGTGGCGTCGTCTTCATTGCATGGAGGAGGCTTACGTGGCATTACTCAATATGTGGGAGGAAGCCGTGGTGCCTCGATGCGCAGTCCTGCTATGGCAGTGGGGTGACATGGTCACAGCCTTCCGTGAAAAAAACGATGCCCTCAAAGAACAGCTGAGGCAGTCGAAGGCTGAAGCACAATACCTAGGGGAGGTTCTCCACGTGCAAGCAGACGCTGCTCAACAAAGAGTGGAGGAGGTAGAACGGGTGACAAAGCAGCTGGATGGACATCGCATCGCTCAGTCAACTGCAGAGAAGCGCGTTGCACAGCTGCTTCGACGCCTGGACCAACTGGCCATGGCCTACGTGGTGTCCTGCAACACATGGGAACAGGCAATGGCGCGGCGGTGCGAGCTCCTCCTTGAGACGTGGGAGTATAGCTTACGTTTCAATATTTCACGACCACGGTGCGAGTGGACGTCGGGTGAGGCGCCTTGGTTGCGGGAGGCGGAGCCGCATGACCCATGTGGGCTGTTTCATGAGCTACAACAAAAGCGCCGCCGCATTGCGGAGCTGGAGGAGGCTCTGCGTCAAAACAAAGTCAGGTGTGAAACACTGGAGGAGGCGGTGGCGCAGCTGAACGCACTTCTTATGGCCCAGCGAGAGCTTGGCATGGCGCCGCCGCCGTCCCCGCCGCTCGTCTCGCACGAGTATGGGGTGTTACCGGCCGCAGACATGGGAACCACCAACGCGGCTCCTTTAGTGAACGCCTTCTATACCTTGCCCAATCGTCTGAGTGACACTGGCGGGGGCGACATGCACCCACTGTGGGGTGTCGCCGCAGGTTCGCAGTCCGGTGCAAAAAGGCCTTCCGCCGTGTCACTTGAGGATCTGCTGCAGTTGAACTCGGCGGGGCATGTGGAGGATTCCATGGGGCCGCGACCGCTGAATTGGTACCTGCAGTCGCTGTCAGCCATTGAAAGCACCTTGTTGCGTTGACAGGGATGAGAAGGGGGGGGGGAACACACAAAGCGAAAGGAGGAGTTAGTGAAGTGGTTGCTGCTGCTAGTTGTGTTGTTGGTTAACGGTGTGGGAAAGGGATTGTATATTCATGCCCCCGCTGGTGACTTTTCTTCCGCCTTGGCGGCCCGCCAATCCTACTTTTGCTTTGCTGTCGTGCGTTGTGTCTGACGATTCATGGCTGCTGCTGTTTTTTTTTGTTTTTGTTTGCTTGTAGCGGTGGTGTGTGGGTGGGTGTCTCGCCGTCGAAGGGGCGAAGAGGTCACAAGTTTTGTCGCGAGTGCGTGCGTGTTTGACGGTCGTGGCAGTCGCAAGAGCCGGAGCGGGGAGAGCGGCGTGGAAGGAGACGTCATTTTAGTAAACACAGGCGATGAGCCACGTGCACTGCGCAAACCCGCTTTTGGCCAAGACACTTCAACCGCTCCTTGACGGCCCGAAGTTTGCCGTCGTGTACTGCGGCAATCTGCAGTACAAGGTGTCTGTGGGCGACGTGATCGCGGTGCAGCGGCTGCGGGCGGAGATTGGGAGCTGCATTGCACTTAAGAAGGTGTTGATGGTCGGCGGCCCGCGGTTCACAGCGGTCGGGCGGCCGCTGCTCGCCGACGTCCGGGTGACGGCGGAGGTGGAGGAGCAGAAGCGGATGCGCAACATCGTGTCGCTCTTCGCCACCCCCGGCCGTCGACACACACGGTGGGTGGATGCGCCGCACGCCGCCACAATCCTGCGCATCCGCGAGATTCAGTACGCGCCGCAGGTGGCGGGGGAGCTGGACAAATACAGTGGTGTGCTGCGGGACGACTTTGCGCCTGAGACGCACACGAACCCCGTGTACACCACGGATGACGGCCTGGACGTCTTTAGGAAGCGGGATACGGAGGCTGTGGAGAAGGCCAGTGCGTTCCTGGACCTCATGCAGTAGCCGCCGCAGACACACGCACACGACGTGGGTGGTGCAGCGAGGGAAGCGAAGGAGAGGAGGCGAGAGGGATGGAATAGAGGAGAATGAATGAAAGGGTCTCTCGGTGCAGAATGGGATTTGTCACTTCTTACCAACTGCACTTCTTTCGGCTTTTCGTTGTGCGTGGTATATATATATATATGCTGATTTTCATCTCTGCCTTCTCTCCAACACGTTTTATATTCTTCTTTCTTTTTATTTTTACTTTGTTTTTCTCTCTTTCCTTATTGCCCTCTCTTTCTCTTGTACTCTGCCACCGCAGTAGCAGCGAGCAGGGGCAAAACACATGAGGAGGAAGAAGAAATAAACAAAAACAAAAAAACGGGGGGCGGGGGGAAATACATTCAGCCGCCAGGATACTCCCAATGGCGTTGGGCGCTGTGCCCCACGACGGCCTCGAGAAGAGGCGGCCCTCGAACATCGATGACGACAGCTGCAACGGCGATAGCGTCCGCGACGCCGGCGGGGAGTGTGACCCTGCACCTCCGGCGGCCGCCTCCAAAACGTATGCGGTTCCCTTCCTGCATGTTTTTTATTCCGGCCTACAACGTGGCCATTGTTGGTGACTGCGGGGCTGGCACGAGCAACGTCGTCTTGCGTTTCACTCACAACGGCCTTGACATTCACGCCCCGTCAACCGTTGGGGTGGAGTTTATCTTGCGCGAGTTGTAGGTGCCGGCGGCTTGCGTGGGCGAGAGTGAGCGCGTCATCGTCCAACTGTAGGACGCCCCCGAACAGAAGCAGTGCGCCGCGATCAGCGCTGTTTTCTTCCGCGGTGCCGTGTGGGTTGTGTTTGTGTGTGATGTGACGCAGCAGGAGACGCTCCTGCGGCTTCCCATGTAGTCTGCGCACGTGCGGCGGCATGCGTACGAGGACTGCGTGTGCGTTGTTCTGGTGAACGAGACGGGCCTCAACCACCTGCGCGTCGTGTCCACGGAAGCGGCGGAGGACGTCGCCCACCGTCTGGGCATGCGCCACTTCACCGCCCCTGCCCGCAACGGCGACAGCGTCACCCACGCCTTCATGCAATTTGAGGTGTCGATGAATGCCGTGCAGCAGGCGAAGCGGCTTGCCGCAGCAGTAACAAGTCGATTGCGCTCAGATCCGGCGGTGGTGCCAGTCTTATCGGGACGAAGCCAAGACGGCGTATTGTGGTCCACGCCGCTTTCATCTGCAGCGCGTGGAATGGTTGGTAGATGGATTTGTGCGGCTTTAGTGCGGAACAAAATGCACGCGGCAAGGCAAACACGTCCGCGGCAGGTTGCTGCGTGTAATCTCGAAAGCTGTGAGTGCGGCGGAAGGAGCTTTATGTGTGTGTGTGTGTGTGTGAATGCAGGCGTGCAATGTGCGCCTGTTTCAAAATAAAAAAAAAATGTTTTTTGGACAACTCTTTTCTCTTTCTTTCTTGGTACGTTGTTAGTTACAGACGTGTGCATTAATCATGTGGGTCCGCATAGTTACTTTTCATTATGATTATTACTATTTTCTTTTTTTGTTGGTGGGTGGTGTTGTTTTATTTCACTTTCCACGCTTTGTTGTTTTCTCCTCATCGCCTTAATTTCCTGCTTGCACCTCTCGCACTCACATGCGACTCATGCCCACAGAGAAAGAGAATGCATTGATGCGCGAGGTTTGTGTGAACAAAGTCCTCCTTTGGAACAGAGAACAGACGAAGGTGAAAGAAAGAAGGAGAGAGATACGTAATGGCAGAGTTGTTGGGGCCACGTATATTTCTTTCTGCTGTTGCCTTGAGCTGTGTGGGTCAGCCACGGTGAGAGGAGGGGGGAAGCTGCTGCCGCTGTTGCTGCTCAATGCAGGGTGCGTTGTAATGTATGTGTACTTCGCATGTTTGTTGCCTATTATTCCTTCATTCCCTTCTTGGTGGTATGCGTGCGCCTGCGTGCTTTTGTTGGCTTGAAGTGTTCCCTGTTAACTAGTGGGTGGGAAGATGGCGGTCCATCTCACCCCGCTGAAGCGCAGTCAGTTGCTCGACTTGGGGAGGCTGTTGGAGTCGGTGCTGCGTTCCTCCTGCTCCTCCCCGCTAGGTTCCTCACTTGGGGTGCTGAGTGGCGATAATAGCGCCGTCTCCAACGCGCATGCTGGCGTGTCTGGGCACCCGTTTGCTTGTGGAGCGTTTTGTGACGTCTTCGAGGACCCCTCGACACGGCACGCCTGGCGTCTCTACGACAAAATGCTCTATCTTGTGTGGTGGTCGTACCGCCCGCCGTGTTGCACCGAGTGTGGAATGCGAGACGCGTGGGTGCCTTCCGCAGACAGTGAGATGAAGTGCTGGCACTGCGGAAGTGGGGCGGGAACGAGTTTCGTGAAGGACATCGTGGAAGATATCCCGGCGTTGGAAAACGAGGACGGGGACGAGGATGGCGATAGTGACGGGGGTGATGTGGCCGGCGAGGACGGTGCCATGGCCACGGGCGGTGGTGCCGGTGGCGGAGGCCCTGTTGCATCTTACATGTTTTTTTACGAATGGCTTTCCCGCATGCAGTTGATGGAGCGCGGGAGGGAAGTGGTGCTCCCCACCGGAGAAAACCTCGCCGCTGTACTGCGTGCCGCATACGACTTGGCGTTGCTATTTGTTGTGCCGGGGCTACCGAGTACCGGTGCCGCCGTGTTGCAGGGCGGGGCGTTGTACCTGAGCCTCGTGCTTCATCGTTTTCCTGCACCGTTTCCGCTGTTTCGTTTAGCAGGCCGCGGCAACGTGGCAAACCAGCCCCAGGGTGGCCCTGCCGCCACGACGCTTTTGGAGTTGGCTGGGGAAGAGCAGCGGGGTGAGTTGCAGTGGGTCGACGTGGAGCTGCTCGGTGCGCTCATCGGGGTCTCACTGTCTGACTTTTTTGAATCCTCGCAGGTGGCTGTGCAGTACTTGCAGAATGTCATGACTGTAGCGGCGGCCTTTGCGGTGCCAAGTGTGCTGTGGCACCCGCAGCGTGTGGAAAGCAGAGCCGAGTACATGATGGCGCTGCGAGACAAACGGTCGTGTGCCACCCCGCTTCACTCTACGGCGGTGTCGAGCGGCCTTTCACCGGAGCACACAGCGATGATTGTCGCGTTGGAGCTTGCACGTGCGTTTGATACCGAGCCGTGTAGTTCCGTTGAACACTGCGAACGCATCGGGGCATGGCTGGATCGCCACGGCTTGTACCCACAGCGCCAGGCCTACCAAACCCGGAGCCGTTCCAAGCAGGATAATAGTAATGATAATAATAATAATAATAGCCACGCCCCGCAGCATTGTCACAGTGCCCAGCCGTCGCTGGTGAATGGAGGGGCGTCCGACAAGCCGCATGCAACGCGCGCAGTGGCCGCCACCGAGGACACGGCGTGGTGGGTGTCACCGATCACCACCGATGTCTCCCCGTTCGCTGGGAGTATGCAGGTGGTCTTATTGTCGCCGTGCGCAAATGCTCTGCTTTACGTGTTTGCGCGTGCCTTTTCCATGTCGGCACTGGAGTTGGCAGATATGGCGGTGAGCAGTGGACTGTACCACGGGCCCACACGTTTCTTTGACACCCTGCGGCAGGCGGCACAGTCAGGGAACTATACAGTTATGCCGCTCTTCCGGCGACTCTCGCCCGTCACTTCTGTCTGGACGAGCGCCTACTTCGCACTGCATTCTGAGGATCGACTCCCGCTTTTGGCGGCTCTGCAACACATACGCGCCGCCACAACGCGTGAGAAGGAGCTGCCTGTGGCACGTGTGGTGCAGCGCATTCTACGCAAGCATCAGGCGTCGCGGCAGTATCAGTTTAACTACTCCATACGTGTCACGGACGATTCCGAGAAGCAGCCGTTTAAAGGAGTGTATTTTCTTAGTTTTTTGACGGAGCGCTTTGCCGTCTACACCGGTGTCCGCTCGGCGCGGAAGACGGTGACCTTCGACGCGGCAACGGGAAAAATCACCCTCTGCGTCATTGGTGCGAAGGAGCAGCAAGTGGAGTCGCTTCACGTGGAGTTCAACGGCCCCATCATAGCCCACATCGAGACGGAGAGTGCGAAGTGTGTCATTGACTGCGTGCGTCAGTCGCTCAGTGCGGAGAGCTGGCAGGTGACGGTGCGTCATTTGGACCGTTGCGGTCGGGTGCGGCGGCGCATGCGGGTTCCGATGCTTGCCTCACGTCTTGATGCGTTGGCTTCGGTGCGGGAGGCGACCGCGATGGCGTCCCACCCGATTGCGAGCAACACCACGCTGCTGGGGTGGGGCGAGACGGAGGTCCTCTTCACATCTTTGCCGTACGCCAACAACGTCGCGTATGCCGTGGGACTTCGGCGGGAGTTGCAGCTAAATCTCCTTTCGCTCCCGAAGCCGTCACTTGTGTTTGGGATTTCGGAGAACCGCGTGATCGCCATGTACGCCTCTCTTGTGGCTCTGCTAGAGGGCATTGAGCAGCGGCTTTCCCAGCCCTCATCCGCTGGGGCCACCACGACATGGGTAGATGTTTTGCTGAGCGAAGAGGAGGAGTGGGAGTTGGAGGCGGTCCATGCAGGCGGCAGACTTCGGCCCAGGGACCCGCCGCTCTCGCACGCTAATATCAGCAATGCGGCCCCGGAGAGTTTCCTGCTCCCCCCTGCCTCCACAGCGGTGGTGGAACAGCAGCAGCAACAACAACAAAATGGGACTTCGAAGCAAATATCATCGCGCAGTCGAGAGATGCGGTCAGTTCCGACTTACCAGGAGGTCTTGTTGGGGCTCACTCGACCCCAGCGGGGCGGCGGCGGCCGTGTGGTTCCAGGCTGCCGTGTGCGTCCGACGCCACACCGTGAACGACAGCAGCGCCGTGTAATTCAGCAGCCGCAACAGTCCCAACGATTCCGCGGGGATGCGGGCGATGGCGTGTGCCACGGCACCGCAGCAGCGTCCACGAGTCGGGGTTGCTCCTCTTTTAATCTGTTCAGTGCTGAGGAGTGTCGAAGGCGGCTCTACCGCCTGCTTGAATTTATCGCAGTGTATGTGGCGCAGCGGCAAAAGTGTGAGGGGTCCAACGCCGTCGTTCACACTGAAGCAGCAACAGGGATGGGCAGTGGGGAAGCGAGTGTGACAGCCCGTCCCGTTGATGCCGTGGCGGGCGTGAGAAGGGAGCCGGCGTCGCCGCGGCCGAGTCACACTCCGCAGCAGCCGTCGACGCCGCGTGAGAAACCAATGTCGAGGCACAACACATCACCCTCTCTAAATGGCACTACCCCTTCGCTGAAGCCAAAACCGCCGCTGCACCATGGTCCGCCTTCTGCCGCAAAGCCGCTTTCCTCGTCGCCCTTAGTGGAGGCCTCGCAGCCGCACCGTCATCAACGTCGTCAGCGCCGCTCACGCTCCGAGGCTGGAGAGGGCAGCGAGGATACGGACCAGGACGGACGCAGCCCGCTCGCCTCTGCTGCTGTGCAAGGCAGCGGCACCATCGACAGAGCCCTGTGCCCGCGAAAGCGCAGTCGTCCACGCAACGAGGAGACGGGGCTGCAGCCACCGCCACCACCACGCTCCACCTCGCCATCGGCATCATCTTCCCACTCGGGCCTTGACGGCTCCTCCTCGCGGACGGAGGGCAGTTCGGACCGACGGCCACAACCACGACGACGACGACGACGTCAACGATACATGTAGGGCACAGCACCTTTGTGAGTTGGCTTTGTATTATTGTTATTATTATTCTTATTTTGCTTTGTTTTGTTTCTTTCTGCACTGCGGCAGATGTGTGTGTTTCAGCGACAAGGGGGGGGACGTGCGGGCAACATTAGACAACCGAGTGAGTAAAGCATAAAAGCAGCGTGTGGCAGGTGGCAAGCGAGCCAAACTAAACCTGGAAGCTAAAGGAGAAGGCGACAAATATGCGTGTATATATATTCATATATATTCTCCTATTTGACTTAAGAGACGTGTAACAGGAAAAGAGAAGGACCCTCTCCTGTTGTGTTGTGCTGTGTTGTGACAACGGCGAAGAATGAGCAGGAAGGGGAGAGAGAGAGAGAGAGGGCGGGGGCTGCTCGCTTTCGGTGTTAGTTCCACGCACCTTCGCGGCGTGCGTTGCTTCTGCCTTGTAGCCGGCGAGGTTGGCACCTCTGCCGCAACGGCAGAGGTGAAAAGACGCAGTAAAAGAATAGGAAGCAATGCAAGAACGAAAAAGGATATCTTATTGATGTTGTTAAGAGACTTGTGGAAAGCGGAGTGTGAGGGGAGTGTGCGAGCGGGTGTGAGGATAACAGAGTGAGACGCTGGTGTGGTTTGCGTACATTGGGGTTGCCTTGCTTGTTGGATGGGAGGGTGAGCGGTGGCGGGTGGCGGGGTCTCCGCGGCGCCTCCCACTGCCTCCGTTCCAGGCGGGAGCCCGGTTTGTTCTTTAAAACAAAAACGCCTAGATGAGCCCATCTGTTTGCTTGTTTTTTTTTTTGTTTGTTTGTTGTAAATAAACTGCACCAGCGTGGGGCGGATGGGCGCGGTGGGTGAAACTCCTTTGCTTTTGTTTTCTTCTTGTCTCTTTATCTCGTGTTGCAAAAACAAAAACAAAAAGGAAGAGGGCCTTCGTCCAAGCGCACCATTTCTCTTGGGGACTCACAAAACGAAGCGCGAGGGGAAAACGGAGGGGTAGGCGTTCAAGAAGGGACAATCAAAAACGAAGAGGAAATTGGTGAAGAAGGGAAGAAGCAGGCCTCAAGGCAGGAAGCGCGGGGAGCGACACGTTTATCTCATCATCTCTTTCTCTGTCTCTCTCCCTTTCTTTCTATTTATATCCTTCCTCTGTGGGTGATACATTTAATACACTTAAAAAAAAAAAAAACGAAGCAGATAACCACGTAAGGCAGCAGTCAGACATCAATAATAAAGAAGGAACGAACGAACGAAAGAAGGGAGTAAATAATTATTGTTATTATAATTAAAAATAATACAAATATGGACTTTGCAGTAAGTAAGATTCAGCAACTTCGAAATTTACCTCGCAATTTTAAGGGGGAGGTTGCGACTGTGGTCTTTGATGACTCTGTGGATGTTCTCATCTACGCCTGCGTGTTATATGTTGTTCTCGTGTTTTGCGTCCCCACGCACGTAATGAAAAACCGTGAGCCTTTTAACCTGCGGGTGCCCCTCATTATCTGGAACCTTGCACTCTGTCTCTTTTCCGTATGCGGCACTGTATCGTGTGTTAATAACATGATCTACCTCTACCTGGATCGCGGGTTCTACAAGACCACCTGCTTTTTCGACAAAAACGTCACCTTTGACGGGGAATTAGCATTCTGGGTCTTCTACTTTATTCTTTCCAAAATTCCTGAAATGCTTGACACCGTCTTCCTCGTCTTTCAAAAGAAACCTGTGATCTTTCTGCACTGGTACCACCACCTTACAGTCACCATTTTCTGCTGGCACGCTGGAAGCGCGCTGATTTCCAGCGGGCTGTGGTTTGCAACGATGAACTACTGCGTGCACGCCATCATGTATTTCTACTACTTTATCTGTGCATGTGGACTGCGTAAGATGATTCGCCCCATTGCCCCATTCATCACGATGATGCAGCTCCTCCAAATGGTGGTGGGGACGCTCATTGTGGGATACACGGCCTACCACTCGTACCTGAGCGGGTACGGCTGCGAGGTGAACCGCACAAGCATTCGTCTTGGCCTTGTGATGTATGCCAGTTACTTTGTCCTTTTCGCCATGCTATTTGGAAGGCTGTACCTGAAGAAGGGCAAGTCGACTGGTGTCGCCGCCCACGCATCGGAAAAAATGCGCAATGGAAAAAACTAGTAGTGGTGAGCCAAGCGCAGCTGCCAGTGGGGAACAGTCTGTGGGAGGAAGAACCAGGTGTTGGATTATTTACTTTTCCTTTTTTGTTAGAGCGTGAATAACAACAAGGGAGTTTGGGGGGGGGGGGCTTCCTTCATTTCGTGTTAGCCTCTTACTTCTTCTTATGCCCCCTCCCCCCCAAACTCCCTTGTTGTTATTGTTGTTGTTTTACGGTTTCACTCCTCATATTTTTCTGATTGAGTGCACCGATGCTTAACGTCAGCCATGCTCTTGAGAAGGTGTGTGGGCAGCAAGGCAAAAGAGAGAAAGGGAGTGGGAGAAGGAAACGAGTGCATACTTCCCCGTTTTGATTCGTGTTTTGTTTTTTTTTTTTTTTTTGGTGGGGGAGGGGGTTAGAGCATAAATCGAGTGATGTTTCACTTTTTCCTTCGCATTCTGTCAAGGATGACGCAACGAATGTGCAAAGTCAAAAGGGGGGGAAAAAGGACGGGAAAGGGAGAGGTGCACAGCGTATGTGTGTGAGCAGGTCGGGGGCTCCGTGGCTTTTACGGCCCTTATTACGGTACGTGTCTATATTCAATTGAAACTGAAGACGAAGAGGTACACGTGGGGTGGGGAAGAAGGGGGAAGGGGGATGTCTTGGGGAAATCTGATAGCGTGGGGGCGCGCTTCTGCGTGGTTAGGTTGTGTGTGTGTGTGTGTTTGTGTTTGTGTACTGTGAAATGTTTGGGGGTGTTGTGCGGAGCTTTCTTGGGGTGTCTGACCCGCTTTTGCTCTGTGTGCACCGCCCGGTTGTATCTTGTCTTTGTGTTGTGGCCGCGTGTGACTGTCGCTTTGCGCTGCCTTCCAGGCACGGCTTGCGCGATACAGCGTGTGTAGTGCCCATCAGCGAGGACGTGGCAGGGGGGAAAGTCACTCCTGTCATCTTCTGCGTTGCTGGACTCCACTGAACGTTGGAGTTTTTCATAGCGTCACAGAAAAACCTGGCGTGGGGTTCACGGCGTGTATCCGGTTGCGGCACTTTGTGGGCCCGGCAGCCCTGAGCATATGTGGCTTTGCTGAGTAGCAGCATGTTTGCTAGGCCACCCGCACACCGCGTGGCACGAGTATTGCCGGTCACCATCCGCTGACATGCGCAGGCTATTCAGTGGGCACTCACTGGTCACGTCTCGTACTATTGTCTCTCTACTCAACTTCTTGTTTTTTCTTTTGCGTGCCTTTCACGGTGCGTACATGCCGTGACATTGTCACCTTGTATTGATGCCTTTCTTTTTTTGTGTGTGCAGCTGTGCGCCTTGTTGTTACTGCGTTGTTGTTGTTGTTGTTGTTTTTCGTTTTGTTTTTTCTCTTTTTGTGTTACTCTCAGCACGGCGGAACAAACAAAAAATTACGCAACAACAACAAGAAGTAAAACTAAATAGTTGTGGGAAAATAAGGGGGAGGGAGATTGGAGCACAAAGCGGAATAAAAGTATCCACATTTATAATTCGGTTGCGTTGTATTGCCTCTTTTTTGCATTCCATATAATACAGTGGTAAAGGGGGAAAAAGGAACTTGTTGCTTGACGCGTTCCCCAGTCAAGAGGGGGGTATATTCATTTAAACAGCCTTGACATTACGGAGAACTGCGTCCGTTTCAGTGTGTATTTGTGGTGGAAGATGGCAGACGTATTCATGCAGATGAGCACTTGGCGCACAGAAGACTTCCGTGGCGAATATGTGCGGGATTGGATGCAGGGGCACACGGATGTGCCCGTCCTCGCAGTGGTGTTCTACCTCGCCCTTGTGCTGTATGTGCCACAGCATGTTATGGCGCACCGCCGGCCACTGAACCTGCGCTTTCTGAACATAGTGTGGAACCTGCTGCTTACAGTCTTCTCCATCTGCGGGGCGTACCACTGCGTACCGCGACTGCTGGAGCTGGTCATCTCCTCGCGTATCAGTGGGATGACGGCTGGCCTCAAGCTGGGCCCTAACACCACCGTGCCTGAATTACAAGGAGGTTTGTATAACTCCGCTTGTGCTTGGAATGACAAAATTTTTTTTGATGGGACTGTGGGCATTTGGGTAAGCGCCTTTATTCTTTCCAAAATTCCTGAAATGCTTGACACCGTCTTCCTCGTCTTTCAAAAGAAATCTGTGATCTTTCTGCACTGGTACCACCATGCCACAGTGATGCTTTTCTGCTGGCACGCGTACGCGTACACCATTTCCAGCGGGCTGTGGTTTGCAACGATGAACTACTGCGTGCACGCCATCATGTATTTCTACTACTTTATCTGTGCATGTGGACTGCGTAAGATGATTCGCCCCATTGCCCCATTCATCACGATGATGCAGCTCCTCCAAATGGTGGTGGGGACGCTCATTGTGGGATACACGGCCTACCACTCGTACCTGAGCGGGTACGGCTGCGAGGTGAACCGCACAAGCATTCGCCTTGGCCTTGTGATGTACATCAGCTATTTTATCCTCTTTTTACAGCTGTACCACAGAAGCTATATCAAGCCCAAGGCGAATCCAGCGTTGAAGATGTCGAATGGAGAGAAAAAATACAACTAACAAGGAAGGAATGGTTTGACATTAATGCATGTTTTTAAGAAAAAACAAAAAAAAATAAAATAAAACAAAAAGCAATGGGAATGGCAGGGTGTGGGTTTTTTTTTGTGTTCTTCGTGGATTCTATATCTATATTCATGGTTAACAAACCCACTTTTTGGTTTCCCTCATGCGTGTGTGTGTGTGTGTGATTATGTGCGTCTGTGTGTGTGTGTGTGTGTGTGAGTGTGGGTATGAAGCGAGGCGGGGCGTTGTACGGCGGATAATGTGCGGGTTCATGTGTATCGATGGTTTATTGCTAGGGGTATACTACCACACGACGTGTTCAGTGGCTGTGGTGTGAGCCCACAACAGTGACGAGGCGGATGAAGAAGACAGGGGGAGAGAGGAAGGGGGCATGACGTGGCTGCCGTAGTCCGAGCCAATGTGTCAGGTGTGTCTTTCATGTGTGCAAGACAACGCATGTACCTGTTTGTGCAGCATCCGTATTGGTAGGCAGTCGATGCACTCGGAACCGGCGGGGTGTGGAGAGCAGCGACTCTGCAAAGAAAGGTCGGGGGAAAAAGGGCAGTGACGATGTCCCGATGGCCTTCTTCTGCTACGTCGCTTTAACACGTGTGCCTCAGTGGATTTACTGCTGCTGCTGTCGTCACTCGTGGCGCCCTCACACCCTGCCTGCGGGCGTACAACACACACGAGCAGGTGTGGCCCAACACGTTCTTCTTCTTTTCCCTTACGGCTGCGTTTTGCTTTTAAGGCTGTCTACGCGTCTGCCTGTCCCCATGTGGCGTCATCACATTGCGTGAGGGTGGTAGGAGGAGCAGACATAAACCCGCCCCCGCCTTCCATTTCCTGTCCTTTTTTTTTTTNTTTTTTTTTTTTTTTTTAAGTTAAACCTGAACAGAGTGTGGGCGAGTTGGTGGATGTGTTAACAATTATGAAGAAAAAATGAAAAGGGAAAAAAGATACAGATCGTATAAGAAGAAGGAAAAAAGTCAGGGCAATGAGCAAACCTTTTTTTTATTATAGTTATTGGAGGAGGAGGAGGATTCGGCGGAGGGGATGTGGTAATGCATCATTTATATCATTACTCTAACCTGTGCTGGTGCTATGCTGATGTTAGAAGTGTCCTCTGTTTCACTTTGCGTCACCCCTACCTCTTTGATGTGGGGCATAGTGCGGTGTTGTGTTAGAGGTTGTCACTTTTTTCTACTCGCCCCTGTATGTGTTGGGGCTCCGGGTACTGGCGGAAAAAGGTGGTGGCTCCGCCCGCTCCCTTGATGTTCTCTCTTTATTTTATTTTATTTTTTTCTCTTTCTTTCTTTCTTTCTTTCTTTCTCTCGCCGGCATGTCACCCGCGTTTTGTTTTTTCTTCTTCTTCTTTTGTGTGTGTGTGTGCCGTGCGTGGGAAATAAAATAGGGGAGATGTGATGACTTCTGTGGGAAGTAGTGGTTGTGGTTTAGGAAGGCCCACTTGCGTCCTGCACAGATTGCTGATTGTTCCTTTTTTTTTCTTCCCGTTGTATATGTCTTTTTTCTTTAAGTGTCAGGGTATGGCCGTGCCGCTGGAAGTGGGGGGGGAGGCGTGTTGCACGTCAACGCGACCTCTCCCATATCGTCTTTCTGTTTTTCCTTTCACCTCCTCTCCACCCAAACCCTTTCTTCTGTTGTTTTTTTTTTTTTTGCTTTTACCTGTCTGTTTCCACACACACACACACACACACACACACACACGCCTGCATCCCTGCCTGGGCGCATATGTGTGTATATGTGATTGTGTGCGCGCTCATGCCTGTCCTCTCACTTCTTCCTTCTCTCTATCTATATCTCTTGTTGGGGGTTGTATTGGTCTCGGTGTGTTCAGAAAGAGAGTGAGACGGAAGTTTGTTGGTGTTTGAAGGTTTCTAGCGACTCATTCCGTGCGTCTGTGTTGTGTTATTGTTGTTTTTCTCTGCAGGGTTGCGTGTACGTTGTGGAGTGCACCAAAAGGGAAGGAGAGAGAAACAGGAAGAGACTGCCGTGCAACTGCATACATATATTTGTAGGTACTTCTCACATCCACTTTGGGAGCGGCGACGAAGATGTTTCCGTACGTGGAGGGATACGACGGCTATGCCATTAAAAAGTGGATGTTAGACAACGTGGATGTGCTTGGCTACCTAAGTCTTGGCTATCTGGCGATGGTGTGGAAGGGGCCTGCCCTGGCGAAGCAGTTGAACGGGGAGAAGGGCCGGGTGAGCAACTCTGAGGCGCTTCGCTACATCATCATCGTGTGGAACATCCTGCTCTCAACGTTCTCCTTCTTTGGCATGATTGTCGTGGTCCCGGCGCTGCTGCTGCGGATCTACAGTCGAGGGATGGTGAGAACGATGTGTGACCAGAATGATGCGATACTGTACGAGACTCCCGTGGGGTTCTGGACTGGCATGTTTGTGCTGTCGAAAGTCCCTGAGTTGGTCGACACCGCGCTGCTGCTGTTACAGGGCAAGTTCCCACCCTTCCTGCACTGGTACCACCACGTCACGGTGATGATCTTCTCGTGGCACACGTACTGCGACCGCACCAGCACCATGCTCATCTTTGCCGCGATGAACCTGACAGTGCACACCATCATGTACTTCTACTTTGCAATGTGCGCCTGCGGCTTCAAGAAGACGATGCGGAAGTTTGCGCCCTTCATCACAATGCTGCAGATTGCGCAGATGGTGGTGGGGACCATGGTGACGGTGTACTCGGCGTACACGGTGTACACAACCCCGGTGGGAGCGACGCCGCGCTGCCACGTTTCCAAGTCCAACGCACGAATGGGTGTGCTCATGTACCTCAGCTACCTCTACCTTTTTTCCGTCATGTTCGTCGGCGCATACCTGCGGCCAAAGAAGCCGGCGCCCAATTGTGCCGTCGCAGGTAAGAATGAATAACGTTGGTCACATTCACATAAGTGACGGGGAGGATGGATATGTCGTTTGCTTGCGTGTGCCTCATGAGGGATGAGAGGGAAAAAGCGGGCGCAAACATTTTTTGTTTCTTTTTTTGTTTTTTGTTTTGTTTGTTTTTGTTGTTGATTTTTGTATTTTCTGTCTGTGTGTGTGTGTGTGTGTGGCGTGTTGAACACGGGGTTGCGGAAGGAGCGGGAGGGAGTCGATTGGCACGTTCTACGACCACCCATCTCTCCTTAGGTGCGCGTTGCGGCCGCCGCGGGGGGCGGGGCGGGATGTAGTGGGAGAAGAGGGCAGGAGAGGAAAACTCCAAGCCCCCCCCCCCCCCCCCCAAATGGCCGGGAACGCACACACGGCATCGTCGGCGCACCCGCCGTCAGCACGGAGGAACGGTGGTGGTAGTGCAATAATATATATATACATACATAATATATATGTGTTCCTACAAATGCACCGAGAGAGTGAGAATGAGAGAAAATGAAAAGAAAAAAGGAAAAACAGAGGTATGCGTGGAGTTGTACCCAACTTGGTGCATAACACGTTTTGTCTGTCACTGGTGCACCGTCACCCGCTTCTAACTGGGCTCTCGTTCGCGATGTACACATGGCACGTCCATGGGCGGTTAGGGGGATGGGTTTGCATGCAGAGGGTATAGTCGTATCGTGTGTGCGTGTGTCCATGGCTGAGTGCGGTGGCGGAAACAGGGTATCTTGTAATACACTCATTAAGGAAAGCGGTGTTACCCCGTTTTTTGTTGTTGTTTTATATATATTGTCAGTATTCCTTTTTGTTTGTTTGTTTGTTGGGAGGGAAGAGGGGTGAAATGTGAAGGAGTAAAACCACGTGTGAGAGAAGCAAGAGAAAGAGAGAGAGAAACGAGGCTGTGCGGAATTATGTCTTTGTTTTGCGTTTTTGTTGTTGGTTTTAACGATAAGCGTGACGATGTTATGGCACGTGCGATGTCCATCAACATGCGATGCCTGGCGGGCGCTATGTGCCTCCCTCCCTCTGCGTTATGCCCCTCCAACCTTCGCTCAAGTTGGCTGAAACATCAGCTGCATTTCCCTACAAAAAGCGTATTGGCAACACTAACAACACACACACACACACACACACATACGTACATACATACATACATACATACTTGCAGCGTATAACTCACCCCACAGGCCACGATGGAGTTCATGCAAGCCTGGGATGGCCACACAGTTCGCAGGTGGATGGTTGAGAACGTGGATGTGGTGGGCTACATTTGCGGTTGCTACCTCACGTTGGTGTTCACGGGGCCAAAACTCTTTGCGAGACTCAAGGGACGCGGTGAGGCAACCGCAGCGGCGCCCGAAAAGCGAAGCGAGGATAGCTTGGGCTTTTCGGCGGTGCGTCGTGCCATGGTGCTGTGGAACTTGGGCCTCTCTATATTCTCAATCTTTGGCACCAGCACTGTCACGCCTACTTTGGTCCGCAACATTGTGAACAAGGGCTTCTACGAAGCCACCTGCACTTTCAATGAGGAGGAATTCTACACGACAAGTGTGGGTTTCTGGATGGGTATTTTTGCCCTTTCGAAGATTCCTGAGTTGATGGACACCGTCTTTTTGGTGCTTCAAGGAAAGCAGCCTCTTCCGTTCCTGCACTGGTATCACCACGTCACGGTGCTGCTCTTCTCGTGGCACACGTACTGCGTTGGAAGCTCTGGGTACATTTGGGTGGCGGCTATGAACTACAGTGTGCACTCAATCATGTACCTCTACTTCGCCATTGCAGTGATGGGCTACAAGAGCCTTGTACGTCCGCTGGCGCCTTACATCACCCTGATGCAAATCTCGCAGATGGTCATGGGCTGCTTTGTTACCCTGTACGCGATGCGAGCGAGTTATGAGGGCCGTGGATGCGGCATGTCTTGGTCGAACATGCGTATCCAACTGCTGATGTACGCCAGCTACCTCTACCTCTTCTCGGAGATGTTCGTGAAGGCGCACGTCCTTCCACGGCCGAAGCCGGTGGCCGGCACCGTCAACGGCCCCACAAAAAAGTCAAACTGAGGGGCACGCAACTGGGGTGGAGGTTGTATTTACTTCTCGTTGATTGTCAAAGTTCTACGAGAGGCTAATTATGGATATATTTATATGTAGCTTCTTTATTTTTCTTTAATAATACCAGAACAATAACATATTTTTATTTTTGTTGTGGACGAGTTTGATTTCTTTTTTGTTTGTTTTGTTTTGTTTTTGCGCGTGTTCGCTCTCCTGCTCTCGCTCCACCCACCCTGCTCTTCTGATACGCTCGCTAGAAGCAGTGTGGGGAAAAGGATCAGGGTGGGGAAGAAAAAAAGAGAGAGAACGCGAGTGAGGAAGAACCTGTACGGAGGTAGAAGTCAGGAGAGAACAAACGGGAAAGAGGCGGTGACCACACGATGGCAGCTGCTCAGAGTTTTAATCTCATCTACGCGTGTAGCAACGCCATTAGCAATGGCGTCCTTTTTTGCTATGAACTGTGTGTGTGTGTTGTGTTTGTTTGTTTTTTTTTTTTTTTTTTTTTTTTGGGGGGGGGTAGGGTACTACTCCAATCCTTTGTTTTTAATAGTTTGTGTTGTGTTGTTGTTGATAATCGTTGTTCCCGCACAACTCACTGTTTAGAATTATTGGTGGTGGTGGTGGTAATTTTCGTTTTGGTGGGTTTACTTGTTTCTCTGTTTTTCTGTAATGCAGTCTCTCTCCTCCTCTTTTGCTCGTTCTTTGTCTGCCTGTGTGGAAAGGGAAGGGAGACCTGCGGGGACACAGCGGAGTTCCACTAGGATAGAAAATGGGCGTGTTCCTCTTCGCCTGGGTGTACGTGCAGAACTGCAACGACAGGCACATGCACTGCGCTCTCAACCGCGTCATTGGCCTTGCGGGGGGTACGCGGTCGCCTTCTGTGCTGTGTTCGTGAAAGGGGGACACCGTTTCTGTGCTGGGTAATATCGTGCCAGCGCGGCTGAGCACCGCGCTCAGGCAGACCAGAGTCACCAGCATGAGCCGCTTCATGACATTGGTGATGTGGAATGTTGTGGCTCAGGCGGTGGCCCGAAAAAATGTCAATTTGAAGAATAAAAAAAAAATGGGGAGACGAATAACGGGGTGCAAAAATGTGGATTTATGTGGGTGGGTGAACGTTTTGTTTTTGTTTCTTTGCTTTTGCTGCTGATGCGCTGCCTTTGTCCTGCCGTGGGCATGGGGGTTGCGCTTGTTTCAAGCACCATTGGGCGTTTATTTTTTATCTGACTGTGGGAGAGGAACTGTGGGCAGATTGGACTCGGTGGGCTTTGCGTTCATCCCTTGTTCTTTCTCTCTCTCTTTCTGTGTGTGTGTGTGTGTGTGTGTGTGTGTGTGTGTGTGTGTGTGTGTGTGT